TAATATATTTTACAATTATCTATATATTGAATTGCGATTTTTAAATGTCTTTTTTTTTAATTTATGTCTTCTTTTTTGCCTTTTTTATATATATTTAAAGTTTAATATGTTTGAATAATAATCTATGTCTTAGAACTTTTCAAGGAATTAAATGTTTCTCTTTTTATTATTATATATATTTAAAGTTTAATATTGAATAATAAATCATATGTGTTGGACTTTCAAAGAATTTTTTTTATGCGGCTTGTCTAATACATTAAAAGTGTTATTATGAGGGATAAACATCCATATGTGTTGAGAACTTTCAAGCGGAATTCATATTTGTTTGGATTTCAAAAGATTTTTTGTTATCTCGCTTGTTCTTAATGCATTAAAGTGTTTTAATGCGGCAAGACTTAGGGTGCGGAGAAGTTAATAAAATGCTAAGTTTTTTTTTTTTTAAATAAATAAAATCAGGAAATTTAAGATTGGGAAGATTGAGAACTCTCACAAATGTTGGGCGTTAAAAACCCCCTTTGTTTAATATATAGTATAGATAATATATATTACTATATATATATATCATATACTATAAGTGAGAGAAAATAAAAGTACTATCCTTATCATAATTGAGGAGATGTTATAAAAAAAAACGTGTAAACATGAATGCCCTCCTATTTTATTGTGTTTATAATTATCTATATATGTGTATTGTGATTTTTAAATGTTTTTTTTAAATGTCTTCTTTTTTTCCTTTTTTATACCATATTAAAGTTTAATATTTTGATAATAATCATATGTGTTGGACTTTTTAAGAAATTTTTTTTTTTATATTTGTTCTTAATGCATTAAGTGTTATTATGAGAGACAATAATCATATGTGTTGGGACTTTTTAAGGAATTCATATGTATTGGATTTCAAAGAATTTTTTTTTATACTTGTTCTTAATGCATTAAAGTGTTATTATGAGGGTAAGTCTTGGGAGTTGGGAGATGTTAATAAATGCTAAGATTCTTTTTTTTTTTAAATCAAAAAATTCAAAAATTTAGATTGGAAGATTGGAGCTCCCACAAGGCTTGGGATTAAAAATCCCATTTTGCTTAATATATAGTATAGATAGATGGTTGAATTGAGAGAAGCTAAATCTATTGTTAATAATGATTATATTTAGAGTAAATTATAAATATACTTCTAAAATTTGTTAAAAATATGATTTGTTTTCTTTGATTTTAGAAATTACATTATGCCATTTGAAGTTTTTAATTTCATAATAAATGACTAATTTTATTAATAAAATCATGAAATTAATTAACACTTTTTAATAATATTAGAAATTCATTTCAATTAATAATTTAGGTAATTTTATCATTGTATAGGAGAGTGGTAAGGAATTTTATTTTTTTAATTAATTTTGTCAAATAAATATTTTTGACAAGAGAGTATTTGTAATTTTTCAAATTATAGGAGACAATTCGTATTTTAAACAAATTTTAAAGGATGTATTTGTAATTTATCCTTATATTTATATATCATAACATATTTATCATTTTATATGTAATAATTATTTTGGTTTAAAGGGCTTATCTTTAGTTACACTATTAAAGATAAGGAAAATTTACCCATAAGTCCTAGTTTCTGAAAAGTTGAATCATTTAGTTCTAAAAGTTTTCTTATGCTCCAATTAGTCTCATTTGCACATCAATCTAATGTTTGAAACATTAATCTGATGTTCGAAATCTAATGTTCGAAACATTAATCTGATGTTTGAAATCTAATGTTCGAAACATTAATCTAATGTTTGAAACATTGTAATGGGACCTTTCAGTCTATAAGAAAACTTTTAGGACTAAACAGTGTATAAGTTATTAATTTGGAATTTATTGGTGCATCCCCCTAAAGATAATTATATCATACATTTAAAATAATAATTCTATCATAAAACATAAAAAAAAGGGCTTATCATTTTAGGATAATTCTATCATACACACCTACCAACCCTATGTATCTTTAGTTACACTATTTTTTTTTAGTTATAATTAATTTTATTTTTTAATTATGATATTATTTTGAAATATTTAATTATGATTTTTTTGTGTTTAGTTATGATTTTTTTTATATCTTTATTTTTATTTTTTAGTTATGACTCAAAAAATATGGAGTTATACCATTGTCTTTTGTACCATAGTCTTTCCCTTGGTAAATAACATTTGAAAAAGTAAACATTTTGGGATTGTTTGGGATGAACTATATAAGTTCACTTTTTAACTTTTTGGATAAAAAAGTAGAGAAAAAAAAGATAATTTTTGACTTTTTACGAAAAAATATATATTAAATATTGCATAAAATAGCAAAATTATCGTATTACCCCTATGCTCTATGCGTACTGACAGTGACAATTGAAGAACCTAGTACGGATTGCTTTGAAATGAGATGATGGGTAGGCATGCTTCAGAATGTATATATATATATACATAGGATGAGGCTTTCCTCCAGTCCTTTATTGGACTTAAGGGTACTGTTGGGCCCTTGGAGGTCCACTACAGGTCCCGTTTTAATAATTCGAACCCATCAATATGTAGAACTCATCAAGTACTATATGCTTGTAAAAAATCATATTGATTAGATATCAATAGCTATGCGATCAAATCAGTTTTGTATAGGGAAAAAAAAATGGACGGTGAAAAATAAACAGTTGACAAAAATCTAATTTGATTGCATAGTTATCAATATCCAATCAATGTGATTTTTTAAAGGCATATAGTACTCGACGAGTTTTACACATTGAACAGTTCGGATTATCAAAACGGAACCCATTGTGGGCACCCACGAGCCCAACAACACCTTTCAGTTCGATGAAAGACTAGAGGGAAGCCTCATCCGTATATATATCTTTTTCTTTTCTTTTCTTTTTTTTTTTTGTTTTTTTTAACATATTCCTGTTCACATGTGAACTTGTACCAAAACCTCAATACAAATTTAGCTTGTGTACGTTTTTTTTGATACTTTTTTGGTGAATAGTGATAACTTTTTTACTTTTTTAATAATTTTTTGACTTTTTATCTTTTACAGACTATCTCAAACAAGCACTTTATAATATACAAATATAATTATTATAATATATTGGCCTATTATTCATCAACTCATTCATTAGTCACCGACCACTATCAACTAACATCAAAATATTTTATGTTTGGTAAAAAATATTCATTATACCCAAGCTTCAAATCCTATGTATCAATGTCTGTTCCCATCATCTGTACCATTTTTCCCCGACTGTTATTGTGTTCAACAATGCTAATGTCACTCCATAACCTGTTCACATGTGAACTTGTAACAACACCTCAATACAAATTTAGCTTGTGTACGTTTTTTTGGTACTTTTTTAGTGAATAGTGATAACTTTTTGACTTTTTTAATAATTTTTTGACTTTTTATCTTTTACAGACTATCTCAAACAAGCACTTTATAATATACAAATATAATTATTATAATATTATTGACCTATTATTCATCAACTCATTCATTAGTCACCGACCACTATCAACTAACATCAAAATATTTTATGTTTGGTAAAAAATATTCATTATACCCAAGCTTCAAATCCTATGTATCAATGTCTGTTCCAATCATCTGTACCATTTTTCTCCGACTGTTATTGTGTTCAACAATGCTAATGTCACTCCATAAGATATTGAATAATTTCTTCTCTTTCTATATCATCAATCTGCCTATCGTACATATAAAGATAACACCTTTATTAGTGTCCTAAAACCTTCCCTCTCATTAATTCCAAATGAAAAAAATGGAGACAGATTGTGTATATGCCACTGGAATATGAAATTATTTGTAAAAATGTCACCATGTTTTAGGATAAAGAGAATTGGAATGATTTGGCCTTATGATTATTGTATTATCAATTAGAAAATTTATATTCAAAAATAATTTTTATAAGTAGATATGTTATTAGCCTTTTCTTCACCCAAGTGCATGTTATATAAATATTTTTGTAATGTATAACTTAATAAAATATAAATTTATTTATGTAATCTGTTGGTAAAATAAAAATTTTAAATCTATGCAACAATGATTAAAAATGCTTTTAAAATAATTTCATACGCATGTACATTCACATAAGTAATTCAAATAAAAATTTTGAATTATTATTATTTAAAAAAAGAGCGGATTACACTAAAGGTCCTTATAGTTTGCGATTTGTGTCGCTTTGATCCTTGACTTTTCAATTGTGATACATTTGACCCTGAATTTTGAATCTTATTTCAAATAAGGACAATTGAATATACCATTGCTCAATTTTAAAGCAAATTTGTCAATTTGATAAAATATAAACTAATTTGATAAAAATAAATGTCAAAAATTATTTTAAATTTTTTAAAATTATTTCTACCCACCAATGATAAAATTATGTAAAATTGATAAATATGTTACATATTTATTTATTTATTTTACCAAATTAATTTTTATTATGTATTTGGATGATGATCATGTAATGAGAAATTGCTTTTATTTTCATTAAATTAGTTTCCATTTTTTCAGAAGTCAAATATGGTGACAATTTTAATATCATTATTAAACTAATCCATTAAATCAAAAAATTCAAAACTAAAAATATTTCATATATATATATATGATCATCAATCAAATACATAATAAAAATTAATTTAGTAAAAAAAAAATAATAATTAAATGTGTAAAAAATTTATCAATTTTATATAGTTTTATTTTTGGTGGGTAGAACTAATTTTTAAAAATTCAAAAATATTTTTTTGACATTTATTTTTGTCAAATTAGTTTATATTTTATCAAATTGACAACTTTTCTCTTGAAATTGAGCAATGGTATCCTTAATTGTTGTTATTTGGAACAATATTCAAAATTCCAAGTCAAATGTGTCACAATTGAAAAATCAGAGATTAAAGTGACACAAGTCCCAAACTGTAGGGACGGTTAGTGTAATTCGCCCTTAAAAAAATAATTTAATATATATGAACAAGGTGGTGGCGAGACACCACTTCGCATCTCACTTGAAACGGATGGCAGTTGTTGTTCGTGCTTTATAGAATTTCTTGCTTTTGTGAAGGTTATCTGGTTGCCCGTTTTCTTTTCCTACTTACTTTCAGATTTTGAGTTGATGCACAAAAGTATAATTAATAAATAGACGTACTACATTTTAATAAACAATATATGACTTGAAATTTTGAGAAAATGTTGTAATGGTTTATATAAATAGACACCACTACATTTTCTTCTTCTATATAAATAGACACCACAGCTACATTTGTTTTTTTTTTTTTTTTTTTGATAATTAACGTTGTAACATACGAAACTACACACACTCCAATCAATGTGCTTAACATGGTGCATTTGGAGGGTGTAAAATTGTGTCATATTGAAGACCTACAAATGGATATACATGGATTGAAAGTGATGCACTTTGCACCTTTCGTTTTGGCTCTTCTGGAAGTCCTGTGATTCCTCTCTTAATTTTATTGATTTTAGAAGAGCTTAGTTATTACTTTAAGTTTTACTTCGTAGACGTCTTGACCAAGTTATGCTGCTATTGCTTTTGTGTATGGCCTATCTACTGCTATCTTGAGGCTTAAATCATGAGGCATTACTGATCTTAATGATGGTTGACTCTGTGGCTGCATAGGTCTGCTCTGTTGCCTATTGAACAGAGTTGCTATGTTGCTGATTACTGATATGTTCAAATACAGTCTTGGTTTTTGCTGTGTTGTAATAATTGGTCAGATATGTTTAGGCTATTCTTGGCATTAGGACTGAGATGCAGGTAAATCTGTCACCAATATTTGACAGATTTGGTTTCTGCTGTGTCTTTAAATTTGACGTCCTTGGGATGAGTTGAAAATTCAATGTATTTGTTTCTCCTCTCTTTTGACCCTTCCACCTGGTTATGTTTGCTAGCAGAGGCATATATTATTGCTTGTCCTTGAGCCATTCAATTATCTCTTCTAGTTCTCAATTATTAGACTAACTGGATTCTAATTGAACCATTATTTTTTTTCCTTTTCCCCAGAGTTGCAAGACATTCTCCCTGGAATTATTAACCAATTGGGTATGTGCAGTTGTGTTTCTTATAATATCATTTTCTTTTATGTTAAATGGATCTGTTTATTCTTAACATTGAAAAGATTCTCCTGATGTGTTTACTCACTGGATTTCCTTCTTTCAGGGCCCGATAACTTGGACAACTTGAGGAAGCTGGCAAAGCAGTTCCAGAAGCAGGCACCTGGTGCCGGTGCTGGTGCCAGTGCAACTGCTGCGCAAGAAGATGACGACGACCAGGTTCCGGACCTTGTGGCTGGTGAGACCTTTGAAGCAGCTGCAGAGGAGAGAAACTTAATTTTATTGAGACCTCGTGGCTCTTAGTTATTACAAGGGAGGATTAAATATTTAGGTTCCACAAGGGAGGATTAAATATTTTTGGATGGATGTGTATGGATAACAAATATTAGTAGTTTTATTTGTTGATAGCTGCGCATGGATAACAAATAGTTATGTTTCAAATTGTTATGCTAGATGGATGTGACTTGTGAATGAAAACTTAGAATAGTTGTATTGTGTCGAATGTTAAAGAATTATGTATTGTGTCGAATGTTAATGATTCAGTTAATTTGAATGATGCTTTAAAAGTATAGGTTTATTATGGATTGAATGAATTATTAGGAATTATAGGTGTATTGTTTTTCTACTTTGGCGACCAATTTATTAGTCGCGACATCCAAAATAATTTTTTTTCACAAAAAATGACAATTGCCGACCAAGAGTTTTGGTCGTAAAAAATATATCTATTGCCGACCAAAACAGCTCTTGGTCGTGGAAATTCACTTTTGCCGACCAAAAGTTTTGGTCGCGAAAAGTAACAAATGGCGACCAAAAAATTTGGTTGCGAAATGTAATAATTGGCGACCAAACTTTTTGGTCGCGAAATGTGACAATTGGTGACTAAAAAATTTGGTCGGGAAAATATCACTTTTCGCGACCAAAGTGTTTTGACGACAAAATAAATTAGCCGCGGTAATTAAATATTTAGCGACCAAAAATTTAGTCGGCAAATCCAACTTTTGCCGACCAACCACAATTTTTGGTCGCGAATTACTTTTGCCGACCCTCAATTGGCGACCAAAGTAGCAACCAAAAAAATTGATCGCGGATAATTTTTGCCGACCAAAAATAGACTTTTAGCGACCACTTTTTTTGTTGCCAAAAGTGTTAATTCTTGTAGTGTAACAGTAGAATAACGGCGACATAAGATAGGAACAGACCTTCTGTACAACCATGAATAATCTTCTCGTATAATTATGTTGATCAAGTTTGCACTTCTCCAAACAACGTTGCTTTGCCGCCTAAAAACACAAACGTGAGCTAACCGGCGGGTGTGTACCGAAAACCCCTCCGATGCCTAAATCAACAACTAGACAATAGACAATAAGCTCTGTGTATTATACAGTAAGAATTGTGATACCTGTTCATAGGTTCTGTCATGAGCTTTTATAGATTCCACGTGGCACAGTCCTAGCAAGATTCTAACTCTTCTTAGCAGAATCTTTCCAAAAGTCTCATACCTAAGGATAATGCTGATCCTTAGAGCACCCTCCTCACTGCAAGTCAAGTGAGATAGCACAAGTCTTTGCTCGACTTTCTACAGTCCAACCGGACTACCTCTGCTCTGTCCGCTAATGGCCTAGCCGTGTAACACGCAATACCATGAAAGCTAACATTGTATGGCTCTCCTCCTTGCTTGGCACTCCTTCTAGCTAGGCTCTCTTCTTTGTTTGACTACCTTACTTGGTAGCTCAGCCATAGCGTTGACCGCCACTAGGAAGTAACTAGGTCCCATAGCTAGGCCTTGTAGCTAGGTCTCATAGCTCAGTCCTGTAGCTAGGTCTCCTAGCTTGGTCCCATGGCTAGGTACCATAGCTAGGCCTTGTATCTAGGTCTCATAGTTCAATCCTATAGCTAAGTCTCGTAGCTTGGTCCCATGGCTAAGTACCATAGTTAGGTCTCATAGCTCGGTCTCGTAGCTAGGTCTCATCCTGTAGCTAGGTCCCATACCTAGGTCTCGTGGATAAATCCCATAGCTAGGTCCCATAGCTCAGTCCCGTAGCTAGGACCCATAACTCAGTCTCGTAGCTAGGTCCCGTAGCTAGGTCCTATAGCTAGGTCCCGTAACTAGGTCAAAAAATATGGCCATTTACTAGTTCGGTCAAACATCTTTGACCGCCACTCCAACCTAGCTCGGCCCAATTTGGCTACACAAATTTCCCTCTCAATTGCCCCTTAATTGTATCTACAGTGCATGATTGGGATTACTCTATCTAGCCAAGCTACTTTGCTCCATCCAAGCAAGCTCACCAAAATTCCTCAATCATAGATTTCTTATGGTTAAACAATCTTGTCAATCCTACTTTGCTGAGCTAACCAGCTCAGCAAAGATCTTAAAAAGTTGGTCACACCTGCCGAGATAACCATCTCAGTCAAAGAGTGTAGAACATTAGTCGCACCTACCAACTTCTTCAGCCTAGATCCTTTATCTTGGCTAAGGAGTACAAAAAGTTATGTTGGTCAAACCTGCCAACCTTCTTTAGCCTAGATCTTTATCTCGACTAAAGAATGTAAAAATTTGAGTTGGTCAAACCTGCCAACCTTCTTTAGCCTAGATCCTTATCTCGGCTAAAGAGTGCAAAAAGCGAATGTTGGTCAAACCTGCCAACTTGCTTTAGCCTAGATCCCTATCTTGGCTAAAGAGTGTAAAAATTTGTTTTGGTCGAACCTGCCAACCTTTTTTAACCTAGATCATTATCTTGGCTAAAGAGTGTAAAAAATGTATGTTGGTCAAACTTCCCAACCTTCTATAGCCTAGATCCTTATCTCAGCTAAAGAGTGAAAAAAGTTTGTGTTAGTCAAAACTGCCAACCTTTTTTAGCCTAAATCTTTATCTTGGCTAAAGGGTGTAAAAATTTGAATTGGTCAAACCTGCCAACCTTCTTTAGTCTAGATCCTTGTCTCAGCTAAAGAGTGCAAAAAGCGGATATTGGTCAAACCTGCCAACCTGCTTTAGCCTAGATCCCTATCTTGGCAAAAGAGTGCAAAAATTTATGTTGGTCAAACCTGCCAACTTTTTTTAACCTAGATCTTTATCTCAGCTAAAGAGTACAAAAAGTGTATGTTGGTCAAACCTGCTAACCTTCTATAGCCTAGATTCTTATCTCGGCTGAAGAGTGGAAAAAGTTTTTGTTGGTCAAAACTACCAACCTTCTTCAGCCTAAATGCTTATCTTAGTTAAAGAGTGCAAAACTTTGAGTTGGTCAAACCTACCAACCTTCTTTAGCCTAGATCCTTATCTCGGCTAAAGAGTGCACAAATTTGTTTGTCAAACTTGCCAACCTTCTATAGCCTAGATCCTCATCTCGGCTAAATAGTTCAAAAAAAATTTGTTGGTCAAACCTGCCAACCTTCTTTAGCCTAGATCCTTATCTCAGCTAAATAGTGAAAAAAGTTTGTGTTGATCAAACCTGAGAACCTTCTTTAGCCTAGATCCTTATCTCAGCTAAAGAGTGCAAAAATCTGAGTTGGTCAAACTTGCCAACCTTCTTTGGCCTAGATCCTTACCTCGGCTAAAGAGTGCGCAAATTTGTTAGTCAAACCAGCTAACCTTCTGTAGCCTAGATACTCATCTCGGCTAAAGAGTGCAAAAAATTTTGTTAGTCAAACCTACCAACCTTCTTTAGCCTAGATACTCATATCGGCTAAAGATGTAAAAATAAATTTTGTTGATCAAACCTGCCAACCTTCTTTAGCCTAGATACTAATCTTTGTTGAAGAGTGCAAAAAGGTGTTGGTCAGACCTGCCAACCTTCATTACCCCCAGTTGGGTAAAGGTTTGTTTAGAAAGAGTTAGTTAGTCCTGCTAACCCCCTTTGCCCCCTGTTGGGCAAAGATTTGTTAGAAAGAGTTGGTTAAACCTACCAACCCACTTTGCCTCTAGTTGGGTAAAGATTTTTGAGCAGTCGATCCTTCTTGTCAATCGTGTTAATTTTCGTCGAAGGCTTTTTGTTCAGCATCGCTGTTGTGCCGAATTCTGCCTTGGCATGCACCCCATCTTCCTCTACCTATATGTGTTGGTGCACTCTCTCCATCAGGGCTTCCATAGTAAGAGGCGGCGTTATTGTCATTGAATCTCTCAACTTATGACCCACTGGCAGATCCCGCTTGTATTGTGTAATAGCTAGGTTGGTGGGACAGTCGTTTATCTGGTTGAAGGTCTCCCAATACCTGTTATTGTAAGATTTCAACATTTCTTTCTCGACATGTCAATGGTAAGCAACTAATATACCTCAACTGGCGTCTTGGTGTTCGTCTTAAACTTGGTGACAAACGTCTCCGCAAGTTGTACCCATAAAGCGATGCTACCTTCTGGCAACTTTTTTAAACAAGTTAAGCCTAGGTTGCCTAAGCTTGACGGAAACAAAATGCACATTAGAGCTTCGTTCTGTTGATGTATGGCTATAACTAGGGGAAAGTGGCGAAAGTGTATGTAGAGGTCTGACTTTCCCTTATAGATTGTAAATTTAGGCTGGTTGAAGCCCAAGGGCAGTGGTGCATTCTCTATTGCCAAAACGAACAGTGAGCTTTGCAACCTTTCCAATGCCTTATTGGTTAGTTCGTAGGCAAGGCGTGCTATTGGCAATCTAAACTCGACACTTCCGTGCATTCTAGATGCCATCCGTTGTAGAGCTGAGATCCTCTGAGGGTCATGGGCCTTGGCGTATTTCCTTCTTTGTGCCCTTTCTTCCAGAACAGTTCGCAGATCCACCGATCTGGGAAGCTCGGTGTGCCGAGAGGTGGTTTGGTGAGTATGTGAGGGTCGATAACTGCTTCCCTTCGTATAAGACCTTTCAGTCCTCGTTCGGTCAGACCTAGAGTAACGAGTCTTAGAAGTTCTTGGTTGAGTGTCGTCTGTTCTGAGGCTTCTACTTTCAGATTGTGATGGTGTGACTCGTCTGTTGCGATCTCCTAAGTGGCGAGAATACGTTCTGCCTTCTCGGATCTCTTCCCCTGCCACGCCTTTGCCTTTCATCTGGTGCTTCATCGTCTCCATGTTAGCTGCTATTCTCTTTATCAACTCGTCTTGCTCCTTCACACGATCCTCCAGAAGCTGAGAATCTACCCTCCGTCTTTGTCCATATGGGTTGTGAGACCAACGAGGAATTAATCCCCATTTCTCTCGTGCAACCCTCCGTGGGTTCTGTCGCTGGCGGCCCAAGTCTGTCATGGGCAGAACAAAAGGCAAATCTTCGCGCCTCCTGCTCCCTTTTGGAGTTTGTCCATCGACGGCAAATTAAGGCAAGTCTTCATTGTGCGCCATTGAAATTAGTTTGAAGGAAAACCCAACCAAAAGGTTTTGTTCTCCGCAATACTTCTCACAGACGACGCCAATTGTACGAGTATGAATAATCTTCTCGTATAATCATGTTGATCAAGTTTGTACTCCTCCAAACAACGTTGCTTTAACACCTGAAAACACAAACGTGAG